CCATTCGAGATAAAAGCTACAGAAATGGAATCTCACAGACAAAAGCAAACAAACACTGCCAGCTTTGGGGACTAAAAACATGCATAATTTTTCTACTGTACCATTCTGTCTATCATCAAGAAAGGTCTTCCCTTTGACAAATAGCTTCCAGGATTAGAATCGCCCTCATTTTTCCCTATGGCATTTGGAAACAGAGCTTAATCATGCAAGCTATGACTGCAGGGAGTCTTTTCTGAAAGAAGGCCTCCTAGCAGGGAAACGGAATAGAAAGAATAGAAAGGGGATGTCAGGGAGACACTTGAGTTTGGTGCTTTGGACCGAACCATCTTTCAAGACTCATCTTAAACCCTCTTTCCTTTGACAAGACTTCCCTGACCATCCCAGACTCTATCCACCTCCCCCTGCTCTGCTCCAATTTAGGAGCTAGGGCTGTGCAATAGACTTAGCAATTAATCATACCTGCCCTTGTGTCACCTATTGTACTGTTGCCTTAAACTGATATTTCACTCTGCCCTTATAATTCATCTTTGTGCATGTACACTTTCCTCCAGCGAGATTATAAGCACCTTGAGGGCAGAGATTTTTGTCGTAAACGTATCTTAAATCCGCCCTTCCTCCCCAATACCTCATACAATTCTGTCCACATAGTAAAGGCTCAACGAATTTTTCCTAGTTTCATAAAAAAGGCCCTGCAAGGATTTCTGAACCAAAAATATGATAGAAATCAAATAAATTTGTTTGAGGAGCAGGTGATTTAGATGTATTTCTTATGGTAGAATGCAAAAATTGAAAGTAATTCTTATTAAGAGGCCTTGTGATTTGTTTCGACCAGTTGAATGTAATGAGCATAATGGTGTGTGAGGTCTGAGCCTAGGCCTCAAGAACCCAGCAGAAGAACTGCACAGCCAAGACCAGCCCAAATCACAAACCCACAGGACCGTGAGTTAAACAAATGGTTTTTATTATAAATCACTAAGTTTTGGTATGATATGTTAGGCACCAAAAGCTAACTGATGCATGGTCTTCTTTAATGATCAGGATAAGCCCATGAGATGCATGTTAGCATCCTACTTTTTGAGCTAGGAAGCAAGCATTCAGGAGCAATATGATGTAGAATGATCATAATGAGTGTCATTTGGAGCTGTTTTTAGTGTCTTTTAGCAAATGTTACCTGGATGGGGAAACGTACCAGGAGGCACATGTCTCAGTAGGCACTGGTCTGTCTGATGGGGAGGGGGACAAAGGAGTGTTTGTTGGCAGGAGTCAGGAAAAGTTCGGACCATGGAGAGTTCAACAATGTGTTGAAGGAACAGGCAAGACAGAGCTTGAGGGCTCTTGGGTCCATGAGTTCAGGCTGAAACGATGTAACTAGGGAGTCCATAAAGAGGGAAATGATAATAACAGTGACAAATTCATGGAACAGTTTTCACGTGCCAGAAGCTGTGCTATGTCCCTAATCTTCACAAATGTCCTAGGTGAGGCCGAGATAAAATAAATAGGTCATAGAACTTGTAAGCAATTAAATTGCCATCGAAAAGTAAATGTGTCTAGCTCCAAAGGGAAATAACTAACAGCTAAAAAAAAATGCCCTTTTCATTATATTGTCTGGTCTGTAACATCAATTTCTTCCTAACTTTCAACAAACTGAGTGGGCACCTACTTGTCATTTCAGGCAAAACTCTTCAGATGTCTTGGAACAAAGCCATACAGAGCTGAAAACTCATGACTTGTCCCATATTGGGCACTAAAGGTTGGTTTCTCCAGTTTGATAAGATCAGGAGGGCCTCTCTGCAACATGCTTTTGTGATAATATTATCTGGTTTAGCAAGAGTTCTACAAATAGGGCCCCTTTGAAGGGAACTGTCCCTTCTGCTTTTGAAGTAGGGTGACCACAGCCCTCGAGCAGAGAACTTCAGATATCCTCGGGCAGTGGTTTCATCTAAACTGAACTAGTTACAAACCCTTCCATTTATCTAATAGTTTATGCACCGTGTACACAGGTATCTTGCTGAATTGAGTAGCACGGCTTTATGGGATTCACTGAGCAGCATATGCGATTCCCGTTTTATAAACTGAGAAAACTGAGACGCAGAAGTTAACGGACATGCTCAAGTTAATTTGTGGTTGAGCTAGGACTGGCCTTGGTCTGTTTGACTCCTCCTATGCTCCTGACTGAGTCAACACAAAAGCATTCCCTATGTATGAGGCATGGGGAGTACAGAGATGTTTTAGGCTGGGCTCCTACACCCAATAACAGCAAATGCCTACTCTAAATGCTTTACTTTGATTAACTAATTTAATTCTTATAACAACCCTACTAGGGAGTACACTTTTTACTCTCATCTCGTGCATGGGGTTCACATACAAGTGGTCTAGATGGGGAGGCTTTTGACTTAGCCACAGCACTACACTGCCTCTATGCTCAGGGAGGCTACTGGGGAGATGCTGAATAACAAGGAGGCCTATGACAGCCCCATAACAGCAGGCCATCCCTGTTGGGTTCAAATACTTGGCCCAGTGCCTAAAGCTGTTTGGCCTTGGATAAGTTATTTTTGTGTGTGTGTATCAGTTTTTCATCTGTAAAATGAGATTTTGATATTGCTCACTTCATAGACAGGTATTATGAGAATGTAACAATTATGTATGTATGTATATGTGTATGTGCATGCATATGTTCAAGTGTGTCTGTGTGTGTATGTGTGTGTGTGTGTGTGTATGTGTGTAGATAAGAATAATCCCTGGTCCTTCCGTTAGTATGATTTGAGTGTTTGCTATCATCATCATTACAAGGCCGTGAAGTGGACTAATTTTCAGGCACATAGCATAGACAAGAGTTACAGGTTCTGAGAAGAGGGAGAATTTATTGTCAGCAGGAATGCTCAGGACAGGCTTCAATGAGGAGGTAAGATGTAAAGTGGATCTCAAAGGATAGAATCACAGACTTGGGAGTTGAAGGGACTTTAACATTCATGCAATCATATGACTTTAACTCAAAGAAGAAAGCTAGGACCACAAGAGAGAAGTGATTATGCTGCGTTTGTTTATCCAGCTAGTTGGGGTCAGGACCTTGGCTGGAACCCTGGTCTCCTCCAAACCATGCCTGTCTGAATTTTCCTAGGCTAGATAAATTAGAAACCCTGGTGCTTCCTCTTGCAGTCCTCACTTCAGTCTGAGGGCCCTTTACCACCTTTCCTCTGCCATCCCTTTGGGAGAGATGCAACTGAGCAATGAATCTGACAGTGATAGGAAAGACCATCTCCAGAAGCAAGCGACTTGATAATCTACAAACAGTTTCTGGGTAAAAACCGTGAATGTGTATTGAGCACCTACTATCAGGTGCTTACTAAATTTTCTCAATCTCCACAGTATTTCATTCTTTGTATAGATAAAAAACCCAAAGTCTTAATTTTGCAGTATCTTAGTTTTGGTAATTTTCCCAAGGTCTCACAAAAAGAAAATGTTTTGAGCCAGGATCTGAAAAATGGTCTTTAAGATTCTTCCATCCACCCACCCATCCATTTACCCACCCATCCATGCACACACCCATGCATGCACACGCCCATCCATCCACCCATCATCCATCTATGTTCATTCATCTTTCCATCCAGGAAACCTTTACTGAGAGTGTGTTCCATGTAAGGCAGTGTGCTAGGTGGCATGGAGCTAAGGAGACACATAAGTCCCCTGTCTTCACAGAGCTGAGTGTGGCCCTCCTCAGGGAATGCTGTTGGGATAGTGTTAGGGAGGAGGGTGATGAGGAAATGGTTTCTGTGGAGACTTGGCACTTGGGAAGGCCATGACAAGAGGATCAGCGGGTTGCTCCCCTACTCCTGCTTCTAAGGTTGCAGATGAGTGCCCAGCTGGCCAGCTAGCCATTGGCATCGTCTGCCTCTTTGTGTAAAAACTAGTGGAATCATATGTGCTGCTCCCAGATGCAGCCTCGGCATCAGCACCTTCCAAGCAGGAGGTTCTGTCATGGTGCTGCCTGCCAAGCCTTGTCCAGAGGACTGAGGCCACTTGGCCAATTGCACTGGGCCCTGTGCCTGTGCAGGGACTGTCTCGCCACAGTGGCTGGGGGCGGCAGGGAAGGGCAAGAGCTGTGTGTGTGTGTGTGTGTGTGTGTGTGTGTGTGTGTGTGTGAGTGTGTGTGTTTAAGCTGGAAAGAAGCCCTTTTTTACTGTGCTCTGTACTTGAGATATTTGACTGGATGGGAGACAAAGAGGCTTTGTGTGCGCTTCAAAGTGCTCTCTGCTGACTGCGATACACATCCAGGGAAAACCCAGACCAAAGCCATGAAGTCGCCCCAAGTTCAAACCCAAAATGCAATTTGCAGGGGTTAGAAATGACAAAAGGATGGGTGGAAGGATCCAGAGAAAAAAACCCAGTGAAACCCAACGGACCTTAAATAGAGCTGAGGGCACCGCTCTTCCTATTTTGGGTGAAATCTTTAAGAGCATCTTTTGAGATTCTTCACAGAAAAATTGTCAGAGCCTATATTCCAACGCCTGCCTGGCAAAGGTAAGGCCCACTTTAATTTTCTTTGAAGGTAATTGTTGTTTTTATTCTTGGGGTCTCTGTTAGGGAGAGGAGCAGGCAGGTTGTCTGTCAGATGGTGTTCTTTCCTTGTTAAGCTTCACCTGTTCTTAAGAGCAACTTGCACTCTGTCAGCCACAGAACAGTGCCTGCCGTTCAGGCCAGTGTTTTAGATATAATTGAATTGCTGGGACACGTTAAACATCACAGGGTTTTTAGCGGAGAAATAATTTAATGATGTGGCCTTTAGGATTGTTAATTAGCACTGTCTGTATGAACATGTAACAATAACACCACCTACCGTAAAAGCGAATGTTCTACACTTCAGAACACTCATTTCTTTAGGGCTTCCCGCAGAGAAGCAGTCATTAACTCTTTTTTTGACAAATGCTTTTAGACATGCTCTGTAAGGCCATGAATTTACCCTTCCCTCCAATCCTGAATCCTTCTCTGCATTTATCCACGAGGCAAGCTGGCAAACAAGGAAACAAGGAGAACTGTGTGCTCAGCCCTCCACAGTGGCATGGATTATGAGGAGGTGATGGTCCTTCCCTGCCAAGCTCCTGAGACACTGTCACTCCGGAATCCAAAAAAGAGATTCAGGCAGGGATGTGGGAAAATTGGAACCCTGCACGCTGTTGTTAGGAATGCCAAATGGTGCAGCTGCTATGGAAAACAGTACGGAGGTTCCTCAAAAAATTAAAAATAGAATTACCATACGATCCAGCGATCCCACAGGGTATTTATCCAAAATAACTGAAATGAGGATCTTGAGGAGATATTAGCACACCCATGTTCACTGCAGCACTATTCACAATAGCCGAGATGTAGAAACAAACTAAATCTCCAACAACAGATGAATGGATAAAGAAAATGTGGCAAACACACGCGCGCGTGCGCGCGCACACACACACACACACACACACACACCCCAGATTATTACTTAGCCTTAAAAAAGAAACTCTAAAATATGTGACAACATGGATGAATCTTGTGGACTTTATACTAAATGAAATAAACCAGTCAGAGAAAGACAAAACTGCATGATTCCACTTATGTGAGGTATCTAAAATTACCAAATTCATAGCATCAAAGAGTGGAATGGTGGTTGCCAGGAGCTAGGTGAAGTGGGAAATGAGCAGTTGTGAATCAATGGGCATGCGGTTTTAGTTAAGCAAGATGAATGAGTTGTAGAGATCTGCTGTACAACACTTTACCTACGGTCAATCATACTGTATTGTGCACTTAAAATTTTGCTAAGAAGGTGGCCCTCATGTTAAGTGTTCTTACAAAGCTGAAAAAGAAAGAAGTAATGGGATTGGCTCACTGGAGGAGGGGCTGTTGGCTTGCATCCTGCCTGCCCCGCTGAAGGGGCTGGTTTCTCTGCCGGAGTCCAGGTGGGTCTGTCTGAACCATGGGTCTGGAGGAGGCCTGCATAGGTAGCATGCCACAGGTTTCTCTGGCTTCTTGAGAACAGAGCCTGATGATGGTGAAGAAATGAGAGCTTCCCATTTCTTCTTCTATTTACATTGGAACAGCCAAGTGCTTCTTCAACCATCCACCATTCCCTTATGTCGTATGTCTTCTGAAGACACTTTACTGCTTCAGTGAGACAAGATCAGCAGCGTGAAGGCGTTTGAACACTAGATCGTGCCTTGTTCTTCAGCCAGCCAAACTTTTCCCTGGTCACATTCTAGGCCTTGATATCTCCAGTGAAAATCCAGCTGTGGAAACTGCACCTTCCAACACCTCACTCTCTGGCCACAGCTGCCTGTCCTGCTACCTCTCCTTACCCTCTCCTCTCACAGCCTCATCTGGTCTCTGGTCCAGAGATGGCAAATGCCTGGTGTGATTGCTGCCACTCTTCCCAGCTCATGAGAACCTCACAGACTGATCATGCCATGCTCTTCCACTGAGCCCAGAGGTTGCTTTGGAATCCTCAGCACACGTGCCATCAACTGGAGTTGACGTGTGAGATGAAAATGATCTGCCATTCCAGCTCCAATTCCTTGACTCACTTTCTGTCAGCCCATCAGGCAGGTCAGACCGCACACACTTGCATGTGAACTGTTTATGGCACCCTCCCCTTCCCTTGCACACACACATGCTGTGTCTGTCTAGCGATGTGTTCTCTCTACTTTCATGCACAGAGCACCAAGCACTGTTGGAGTATTTTACCTTATGATGTGTATTTACCTTTAATGCCACAAAAAACCTGTGGTTTCTACTTTGGAAACGTCTTTTATTTGTTCTTGATTAGTATCTTGTTGCATTTCCCAGAGAAGACTTCCAGAGCCTATCCTGCTTTTTAGTCCCCCAAACCTTCCCTCTTTGTCTGTCAACCTCACCTCTTATTTCCCTGAGAAGACTGGCAGAAGCACCCTGTGCCTCTGCCCCTGCTTCATCCCCCACCCTCTGCCCACATGCACCCTGTCTCTCCCTTTCAGAATCTTTGTAATCTTTCTGCCTAGAGTGCTATGGCCTCCGTCTGCTCCCAAGATGTTCCCTTTTCTTCCACGCTCAGCAAAGGGTCATTTCCTTGACAAAATCTTCCTTTGCTAACTGACCTTCAACCCAGGCAGTCTGGGAGGTTCCCTCCTCTCTCTTCCCTCTGTATCTCATACATACCTATATTAATGTATTAATCCCAGGAAATTGTCATCTATCTCTTTTCTAGCCTACTTTTCATCCCTGACTCTAACAGTATCTGGAATAGGGCAATGATTCAAGTTGTATTTATTGAGTGACTGAATGAATGCATTGAGAAATTGAGGCAGAGAATAGATTTGGCCCATCTCCTGGAATTGGTCATCCTTGCATCCTTCCTGTTAAATTTCACTACCTGCACTTCTCTTTTTAAAAAAGGATCTAGAAATAGAAATTCCATTTGACCCAGCAATTCCTTTACTGGGTATATACCCAAAGGACTATAAATCATTCTATTATAAAGACACATGCACATGCATGTTCGTCGCACTGTTTACAATAGCAAAGACCTGGAACCAACCCAAATGCCCATCGATGATAGACTGGACAGGGAAAATGTGGCACATATACACCATGGAATAGTATGCTGCCATAGAAAACGATGAGTTTTTGTCCTTTGTAGGGACATGGATGAACCTGGAAACCATCATTCTCAGCAAACTGACACAAGAACGGAAAATCAAACACCACATGTTCTTACTCATAGGTGGGAGTTGAACAATGAGAACACTTGGACACAAATAGGGGAGCATCACACACTGTGGTCCGTTGAGGGGGGCTATGGGAGGGATAGTGGGAGGGAGAGTGAGGGAGGGATAACATGGGAAGAAATATCAGGTATAGGTGATGGGGGTATGGTGTCAACCAACCACCTTGCTATGAATGTACCTATAGCAATCTTGCATGATCTGCACATGTACCCCAGAATCTAAAGTACAATAAATAAATTAAAAATAAAAATTAAAAAATGATATTTATCATTTTCTATCATTCATGTTACTTATCTATATGCACATCTTATCATTCCTACCACACTGCAGCTTCCTTGAGAGAGTTATCTAGATCAAAATCAACTATATGTCTCTCAAAACATAGTCACACATGTTGTTTTATTAATATAAGTTGGATGAATGATTCTTAAGTTGTCCTTTTATTACTTAGAATAAGGGCCCAATGCAGGCTTACTGAATTAAATGGAATTTAATCCTTTGTCACAGATATGCTGATGTGGTTTGCTGTGTCCCTACCCAAATCTCATCTTGAATTGTAGTTCCCATAATACCCACATGGAGGTTGTGGGAGGGACCCAGTGAGATGTGATTGAATCTTGGGGGTGGTTAGCCACATGCTGCTGTTCTCGTTATAGTGAGTGAGTTCTCATGAGATCTAGTGGTTTTATAAGGGGCTTTCCCCCATTTTGCTCTACACTTCCCCTTCCTGCCATCACGTGAAGAAGATGTGCTTGCTTCTCCTTCCACCATGCTTGTAAGTTTCTTGAGGCCTGCCCAGCCATGCAGAATTATGAGTCAATGAAACCTCTTTCATTTATAAATTACCCAGTCTCAGGTAGTCCTTTATAACAGCCTGAGAATGGACTAATACAGTATATTGATACTGGGTATGGGGTGTTGCTGTAAAGATACTTGAAAATGTGGAGGTGACTTTAGAACTGGGTAACAGGCAGATGGTGGAACCATCTGAAGGACTCAGAAGAAGACAGGAAGATGTGGGAAAGTTTGGAACTTCCTAAAGACTCGTTGAATGGCTTTAACCAAATTGCTGATAGTGATACAGACAATGAAGTCCAGGTTGAGGTGGTCTCAGATGGAGATGAGGAACTTATTGAGAACTTGAACAAAAGTGATTCTTGCTATCCTATAGCAAAGAGACTGGTGGCATTTTGCTTCTGCCCTAGAGAGCTGTAAAACATTGAATCTGAGAGAGACAATTTAAGGTATCTGGTGAAAGAACCCTAACCCTAAGCAAGGTGTTCAAGACGTGATTTGGGGCTGGGGATGGTAGCTCATGCCTGTAATCCTAGTACTTTGGGGGGATTACTTGAGGTCAGGAGTTCTGAGACCAGCCTGGCCAACACAGTGAAACCCTGTCTCTACTAAAAATATAAAAATTATCTGGGTGTGGTGGTGCATATCTGTAATCCCAGCTACTCAGGAGGCTTAGGCAGGAGAATGGCTTGAACCTGGGAGGGAGAGGCTGCAGCGAGCCGAGATCATGCTACTGTACCCTAGGCTGGGTGACAGAGTAAGACTCAAAAAAATAAGATAAATACAATCAATCAATCAATAAATGGTGTGACATGGGTGCTGTTAAAAGCATTCAGTTTTATGTATTTGTAAATATATTGTTTGGAAATTGAACTTATATTTGAAAGGGAAGCAGAGCATAAAAGTTTGGAAAATTTGCAGGCTGACAATGTGATAAAAAAGATTTTCTGAGGAGAAATTAAAGCCAGCTGCAAAAATTTGCATAGGAAATAAGGAGCCAAATATTAATTGCCAAGACAATGAGAAAAATGTCTCTAGGACATGTCAGAGACCTTCAAAACAGTCCCTCCCATCACAGACCAGGAGGCCTAGGAGAAAAAAAATGGTTTTGTGGGCCAAGCCCAGGGACTTGCTGCTTTGTGTGGTCTTGGGACTTGATGCTATGCATCCCAGCCATGGCCAAAAGGGGTCAAGGTACATCTGGGACTGTGACTTCAGAGGGTGCAAGCTTCTAACCTCAGCAGTTTCCATATGGTGTTGAGCCTGTGGGTGCACAGATGTCAAGAATTGAGGTTTGGGAACTACTCCCTAGAATTCAGAGGATGTATGGAAATGCCTTGTTGTCCAGGCAGAAGTTTGCTGCAGGGACGGAACCCTTAGGGAGAATGTCTGCTAGGGCAGTGTGGAAGGGAAATGTGGGGTTGGAGCCTTCACACAGAGTCCCTACTGGGGCACTTCCTAGTGGAGCTGTGAGAAGAGGGCCACTGTCCTACAGACCCCAGAATGGTAGATCCACCAACAGCTTGTACCATGCACCTGGAAAAGCTTAAGACATTCACTGCTAGCCCATGAAGGAAGCTGGGAGGGGTGCTGTACCCTGAAAAGCCACAAGGGCAGAGTTGCCCAAGAGCATGCGAGCCCACCTCTTGCATCAGTGTGACCTCGATGTGAGACATGGAGTCAAAGGAGACCATTTTGGAACTTTAAGATTTGATGGCCCT